CTTCTAATTGTTGCTAACAAGAAAGACAAGATTTCTTCTTGTTGCAAACTAGAAGGACCAGAACTAGCAAATTAAAACCAGCAGATATATATATAAAAGACAAGAAGATGAGAACAGAATTATCAATAGGATATCAACTAACAAAAAATAAAAGAGAGAAAGAGAGAGAGAGAGCAGCTATCAAAAGATATCAACTGAAGCTGCTGGGGTGATTTTCTGAGGAGGGAATGGATCCTATTTATAGATTTTAGAGTGAGGTGCAACCCTTCCCACTTCCGATGTGGGACAAAAGATTGCAACTCTTCTCACTTCTCAATGTGGGACAAAGAAAATAATACTTCTCATTTTTCGATGTGGGACAAAGAATATTTTGAAATACTATATATTTTACAACACGTGCCAGGCAAAACGCCTGTGCTTAATGCAAATACATAGCCAGTATCAGTTGAAATTTACTGGAGCTATTAGTAGGTGTGTGTGTTCTTCACACTAGTCGGGGAGGAGAAAGGAGAAGGGGAAAAGGTAGACAGCCTTGGACTACTTGGTGCTGGGTCCGGCATCCCCTTCCCCGGCTTCTCTGTCAAATCTTCCCAAGCCGTATGTATCTTCCACACCACTTGTAACTCTCTTTCTGCGCTCCGCAATCATTTCCAGATATGCCTGCAAAGAAAATTGTAAGATTTTTTAAGTCTTTGCTGTATATCAACTTCTTCATTGCTGAAAGGGCAAAACTAGATCAATGTCAGGCTCGGGCTTGGGCTCTTGGATGGTTAATTTGCCAGTGTTGTTGTGCTTATGATGCTGCCGCGTCCCGCACCAAACTGTGTCCAGTATAATGCGGCGGAATGAGGCTGACCAAATCTTAAACTGAACGCCCTCCGCCAGGAGTCGGGTGGTCTAGCACCATGGATCCGCGGTTGTTCCCGTGCACCTTCCCCATTAATTACTAGCAGTATCCGCTATCTTTACTTGAGAATTGAAATTAATTTGATTTCACCAGAGATGGATGTTGGAATTAGAAATTTGACAGAGTGTTTTTGGTCAAGATCCATATTAAGATCCAAAATCGTGACAGTAAATTGTTGGACAAATTTGCCCTGTGCTTTGCCACGTGTCATGCTAATTTCAGAAATTAAGAGCCATTACCGACGAAATGGCCACAGGTTTACTGATTAAATTGTTTAGTGGTCAATTATTGACAAAAAATAGTTCGATGGCCAAAACATGATCCTGACAATAGTTTAATGGCCGCTGAGATTTTTTGCCCAACAACTTATGAAAAATATCTGATCTGAGTGGTGATTGTTTGTTTGTTGGATTGTGGAGAGGAGGCTATTTATAGCCTATAGGCGCTGATTTAGTAGTAATCGGCTAGAAATCTTAGTTATTGGATAGTGTTAGGAGCGTGATTAAACGGGCGTTGAAAAAAAAATTTTGATAGAAAGAGGAGGTTTAAATTCATTTCCACAAATTTTCAATGCGTTGAATTAGGTGAATTTGGATTTTAACTCTGTCTTTTTTTTTTAATTTTGGGGTAACATATCAATGAGGGATATCAGAACTGTTTAATTTTTTGGCACCATTAAGGAGGAAATATATATATGGAAGGGTAATTAGTCGCGTTATCAAACACAATTTTGCTGATTGACAAGGGGTAGTGGGAAATTAAAACTCTATTAAGATCATGATTAAGCAGTTGAAACTTATCTCAGTGATCAATAATCAATACTTCTTGGTCAAGATAACAACTAGTGATCTTCAGCCAAAGAGATATTTTCTAGATATTTACCAAAAAAAGAAGTACTATTAAATAATTTGGTTCTCCAATAACCAAGAAGTTTGGTATGGTTGGGTTGAAGTATTAAGCTCAATCACTAATTATAAATTCATAGTTTGAAGTTTCTTCTCCTTTCATCCAATTCATTGACATAGACCCCATCCCCAAACAAACTATACAGGATGCAACTTGGGTTTTTTTACTTTACAGATGTAACTCATAGCCATATGCACCTTCAAGTCTCTCCTCTCTCTCACCAATTGTGCTGTAACGCCTGTTTGGAAGGGTCAATTCTACCAAGTCACAGGTATGGCCTCCACCATATGGATATGATGTTGTTTGCCACCCTTTGTTCCCAATTTGAAGCAAAGTTGGAAGATGGATGCATGAATGATTCAAATGCATTGACTATCCATCATCTGACATGACAATTTACTGCTTCATTTTGGCAGATACATTGAGCGGAGCCTAAGCATTTCTTTAATTTCATTTGCTAAGGTGGTTTAGTTTCCAAAACTGTAATTGCATGGTAGAAATGATGTTGTTTGCCTCCCTTTGTTTGCACTTATAAGCAAGGTTGGGACTTGGGAGATGTATGATTGAATGTTTCAATGCATTGACTCCCTATTTTTAAGTGACAATTATTGCTTCATTTGGCAGATACATTGAGCCTAAGCATTTCTTTATTTTCATTTTCTAAGGTGGTTTCAATAACTAAATTCATTTGATCATTTTCCTTTTGGGTTTTTTTTCTCTGGATCAGATTTCAATTGGCCGGTGAGGAGTTCACATCCTTGAATGTTGTTATCTGGGGAGGTTTAGATTCAGGTTTTCCATTTGTATATTTCCTTTCTTTGTTGTTAAGGAAACGTGGTCGGTGAGACGTGCCAACTAAATTTCCATTTGGGGACCAAGTTAATTTACTCGCTCAAGAAGAGTACATTATCGTGATAAAGATAGGCAACATCTGTGGGAGAAGAAATTCTGCCCCAAGAATGGAAAAAGAAGGTTGATTTGTCCATCCATCTAATATTCACACTTGGAAAATGAAATCACAGATTTCATGACTCTTTGAATAGTTGCAACAAAATGGAGACTTCAAAAATCTTATAATGTGGAGTTAATATCATGCTACCAAAAAGAAAGGGAAAAAGAAAAGGTAAAATTCATCACCGTCAAACTTAATGCTTACTTCACCTTCATAAAGTCATTGTGGCTCTCTACAACAACAAATTGACAAACTCTTTTAAATGGGTACTAAAACCATTAGGGTTCGTTTAATAGTCAAAAAAAGGCTCTTAACGTCCTTTCAATTATGAGGTTCAGATTTCGAATTCTGAATCTCTTGGTACGAAGGAGAAAAGGGTAAGTATGACTGCGAGAAAAAGGTATGAACAAGAATGAAAGAATGTAAAATAAATAAATAAATAAAAATTTGTCAAAAAAGGCTCTTAGCGTCCTTTCAATTATAAGATTCAGATTTTGAATTCTGAATCTGACAATATAAAGGCAAAAAGGGTGTAATATGAAGGCAAGAAAAAATAAACAAATAAAAGTAATGGCGAGCAGATATTACATTGTTTGCAATATATTGTTTGAGGTTATTTGACCTTGACACTTAGGTGTCAGGTAGCAGGCTTTATCCAATCTCTTGAGGCCCAAGAACAGCACCCACATTTGAAATTGGAGCCTTATTTGGCCCAAAAGTTCACTCTTATTCAATTCAGTAGACCAAAATTAACTCATGAAATGCTTATTTCTAGGACTGTGGCCCAAAAAATAGCAAATGGAAAGAGGACGAAATATTGGGCTCCTGCTTGGCTGCATGCATTACGAGTGATGAATTGAGCTTTCTGATCACCCTCTGTGAGAATTCAATCCTGGAAAGATACACTCAACTATACGGTATATACGAGTGATGAATTGAGCTTTTTGATCACCATCTACTTGATGACCTTTTCACATCGCTATTTTTTGATAATATTTTCATCCAAATTGGTTGAACTAACCAGCCACTATACATACCTTCATAGTATAGAAGATTGACAAACTTCGCCTGTCAACAGGGAATTTAGGCCATAACAGATGTTTGATAAGTATGTTGCATAATGCAGGCAGTGGAGACCAAGCTGAAAGAGACATGCTCTCCCTAGGTTGGTATGCTCCTTTTCTTCATGTCTGGAAACAGTTCTGCTATCCCGGCAAGTAATACGAGTTCCGAGATCAAGGGGAGTTTCCATGAAAATTTCGAAAATAACTGAATCAAACCATCCAATAACCCAACAATAAATTTCGAAAATAAAATTGATAGATCATTCGGTCAACTTCATCATATTCACATGACATTTATTAAACCAAAAAAATAAAAATTATAACATAAAATGCCATTCTTTGTCTTGGAATAGTAGAATTTTTTTTTTGATAAATCTTTTCATGTACCGTTAGTATATCCGCTTACGAATCTAGATGTGTATCATAAATATAAAATTTGATGTTTAAATTTAAATTAAAATGAAATGCTGTACATAAAACCGTCAGTGTATACAATGATAATATAGAAAAGATTAATCTTTCTTTTAGGTTCATTAAATGTCACATGAATATCAAGTTGAGTTAACCAAATGATCTTCCAATTACACCCCCAAAATTTGTAATCAGGTTGATTGGTGGTTTGATTCAAATTGAAATTTAGGTTTAGGGATGTAATAATTTCAGTTTTTAAATGTCAAGAATGAAATTGTTCCATTTCAAAAGTGAGGGACGAAAAGAATATTTTTGTGAAATATGAAGGATGAAACCGATCATTTTCCCTAAATTTAATACATTTGAGTGTATATCACATTAGTAATAAGTGAATAACTTATCACTTAATTTTGGGAGCAAATTTTGCCTAGAAAATTCAATGCCACTTAATTAATTCAAATGTTCAATTTTTAGTTATTAAACGCGTCTGAACATGTTAAGATCTGAATCCATTAAGTTTAAATGTTAAATGACGTTATCAAACCGGACCTTAGACTTTGCTACGCTGTCGTCACGAGTTCTTTAGTGTTATTGACCAAATTTAATTAAAATTATACAAGACTCCAAAGATGCATAGGATTATGCCTCATGAATCATGTGTGAAAATTATCTATCCAATTTAGTTACGCCAAAAAAAGAAAAAAAAAATATATATATATATATATATATATATAAAATGATTGACTCTTTGTTATGACAATATGGTGAAAGATGGTGCCTCCTTTCTTTCTGCCTTAACACAGATTTGTAATGCACTTACAAATTGATACGAGGACAAAGCATCAAGAGATCTCTTCAGCAAATATGATATCAAATATCCCGTGTACTGCAGCAAGAGAGGCCAGAATTCAGCGTTTGATGTACAGTATTTGACATTGTAAAGGACAGATATTAAAAATTCTGAAACGTCCTTAAAAAGTTGAGTTCTACAATATGATCAAATTGTGATGCGTATGGAGATTTTAGCAAGAGCTTCATAATTCTATCACAAGCAGATAGTAGCATAGCAATTAATTCTGTTCATCAAACTCTTAACTACCTACCCTCCTCTCTAGGGATGTTAGGTTGGTCATCGAGCAGTTGCTGAAGGGCATTTAGATCGTCACTAGCACTGCAATTAGAATTCAGCCGTGGCATAGTCACAATTAGAATACTAAGATGTTTCAATTAGATGGCATCAGAGGTAATTACAGTAAACAACTAATTCATCAAAAGGAAAGAGAGGCAAAGGCAGAAAAGGAGAAGAAAAAGACAAATATACCACACCAAAAGGACAGCAAAAAATGTTACACATAGCCATCCTGTGCAATGAACAAAGAAATAAAAGCTCCACTATTTAATAAAACTGGACACTTTCAACTTCTAATCTAATTTGGCGCATTAAACTTTAGTATTTCTAAGGGTAGAGCTGTTAAACTTTTCTGCTCCACCCATCTACTTACTGTCAAAACTTCAATTTGAGAAGATTTGTAGTGTATCATGGTAACCAAAATCAAACACTAACTAAATCATAGGATCAAGCCCAAATATTTATATAATGAATGTGCTCTTCTCATGCATCATAGTCGTGAAAGGTGATTCCAGGCTGCCATCATTTATTACTTTCAAAGTTAATAAAAAGCCTTAAACCAACATAAACCGCAAAATTTTCCTTTTTTTTTTTTTAAAGACCTTGAACCTGACTTATTTCTAATAATTGACATAACTGAAAGCCCTAAATATGCTAAATATTCTAGGCCAACTTCTCCAGCCTTAACCTCCAATTATAATATGACAGTTTTCAAAAACAGGCCATGCCTATTTCTCAAGTTTAGATAAGTTGCACAAGATACGATACACATTAACTTGGGCAATTGCCAATGCAAAAGAATTAATCACACAGAGGTGGCTGGGGTGGGGGAAGCACCCACATCTATCAAGAGATACCTTGGCGTCAAGGAAACCTTTGCAAGTGCCAATATCACAGACGACTTAAGAAGGTACCTGAAATAAAATGTTCAACTGGTTACTAGGAAATGGAGTGTGAAAAATGAAGGGAGAAAAGGAGAACATGGACTCCAGGATGCTGGTCACTAATATCCTGCACATCTTAAAGGTAACTCCGACAAATTGCAATGCGAATGCTTTCAAAAGTCAAGGAAAATATTAGTCTAAACAAGATCAGATAATCCCAGGAAAGTGCAAACAAAATGATTTACAATGAAGAAAGAAATGGCAGTGATTTATTGTCATAATATGTGAAGTTTAACATTCATTTGACACTATCATGGGTGACCTTATTTTGAATCTTACATAGTAAAGAAGACCGAATAAAAAAACTGGAGACCGTAAAAAATAAATTAGCTACAAAATCATATCAAATGATCAGATTAACCCAACTTTTGACATCTCTCAGATTGCATTTCTGAGAAAATTTTAAATAAAGAAACAAATAACAGGTTCTGTTTTCCAGAGCCCAATCTTGATGAGTTAACATCAACACACAGGAAAGTTAACTATGAGAATTATGTAAAGTTCCTCTAACACGTACTCTGAATGGTGCATCTCGCTAAGAAGCCTAAGTCCCTCCAGGCAATCTGCAAGACTTGGTTTGACACCAACTCTTTGCTGCAGTTGCTTTGCCGTTGTAACGGCAGAACCTCCTTTAACTAGCTGCCTACCATCACGAACAACTTTCTCAAGGGATGAAGAAACACCACGAAAATCTTCCCTACATCAATGGCGGATGGATTAAGCAAAAAGACAAAATAAGAAGAACAGAAAGTCAGCTTCCTATATGGGAGTGTGTTGACATGCAAATCAAGACTAATACAGGGGACAATTGAGAGGGGGAAAAAGCGCACACACACACATAGGATAAGCAATTGCTGAAACATAAATCCACGAGGTCCAGAATGAGTTCTAGAGGTTGACAGCATCCATGAAATGAAATTAATGGAACAAAGAAATCTGGAGGCCAATCAAATCGTCTTTTAACGTTTGGTTAGTAGAAGTCTCAACATACAGGTGACCACAATCTTTAAGAAACAAGATAAAATATCTATTCCTAACTTGGTCGAATCAGAAAGAAACATAAACACTGGAAGAGACCCCTAGCCAACATTTGTTTTCTGACTTCTGTTACAAAATGCATTGAGATCAATAAAAGGAACTTTCAAGGAGAGAAAAAATGTAAAACAAGAAACCATACAAGGTCTTATTCATGGAGAGCAGAATAGTTTGCAGTGACTCCAATTGCTTCGCCAAGACAACATCTTGAATGCCCTGAACGCATTCTAATGCACCATACTTCTTTGAATCTTGGAGTAACTAAATGAGAGAGCTAACCCAACATCAATATCATCAGGAATCAAACAATAAGAAGAAAGGCACACATGCAAACATGTCTAGACAGGATGCTGCGGGAAAACCTGCAGCCTCTGGATGATGGCAGAAGCACTGGTGAACTGTGAAATTAACCGAGATTGAAGTTCTTCCCATCGACCCATCTCTTCTTTCACCTTCCTAAACTTCTGTTGATACTTTTTCACCATTGACTCCATCTACCTCAATCCACACCTCTGCCAATCCTACATCAAACAAGTGGTAGCAGAATTATGTGCCATGAATTTTATCACTATCTAGCGAATCATATCATCGCAATCAAAGTGACATTAATCTATAAGCAAATGCTTCGTCTCCCGGGATGGTACTACAACATATATGTATTGACCCTTCAGCAGCATCTGTATGCAGTTGATACACATTCAGGCATTCTATCAAACATGTGGTGTGCAACCATTTGCGTGACAGAAAATTAATCCACAAAAGCAAAAAAAAAAAAAAAAACTAAAATTTTGAAATAAATTACGGGTTTTTTTTCCTTCTCCTTTAAGCTAAGCTTATGAAGAACCGTGAAGCTGATTGTTCTCCCAATGCTACGCCGCTTCGTCAAAGAGGAAAGAACGGCTTGTACTCGTATTCAGGCAATGGGGCATCAGACCAGAGAGTCTAGTATCTGGTGGAGGAGAAGAGAGCCCAGTACACCGGTAATTAGGAAATTTCAGTAGGTCGAGAAAATTTGCCATTTTTATTGTGGTGAACATTTTAGAGTCACTTCAGTTAATAGAGTATTTGAACTGAAGTGTGGTAATACTTCAAAGCTTGACCCGATCACTTTACTACTTTAGTTAATGAAGCTGCCCTTGCGATGCCCTAGAAAATGGTATGACTGCAATGCTCACTAGAGCGTTCGGGCATAGGCAAAAAAAAATCTAAAATGCACCCAAAAAAAATAAGAAAACAAAATAAACAAACTTTGAAAGGCAGATAGACTTGATTCAAAATCAAAATGGTCTTTAATATAAATGAAATTTCCAGTGTTACATTACAGCCATGAAAACTGGAACTCGTTAGCCACTTCAGTTCAGTAAATGACATTACCTGTGGAACTTTGCACATACATTGGAACATCACTGGTGAAGGTCCATATTACAACATCCAGCCTATAAGCGTGGCCTCAGACCTAACAGTCTATCTTGATAGTGTACAACAATCTTTGTTTGGTTTCTATCTACTCGTGTTTTCATACCTAAAGCATTTAATTTGAAACTTAAAGCATTTAAGTTTACAACAAAAATACCTAAAGCATTTAATTTGAAACTTTGCGACAGAAATTATTCATTATGCCATGCCGAAAAGGAACAAAGACAAGTTAAACTCTAGCTACAAAATATGTTTCTCAAACTCGAGGGAAGTAAAGCAATTTGACCATGCAAACATTTTAATAGTATTATGAGTTTTAAATTCCATTTCCACACTCGGATAAAATTGATTGTAACCTCGAATCAAGTACGTTGTGAAAAAGATGGAGCACTTTTTACAAGTGGGAACTTTTGGATGAAATCACCCGTCCTAATTAATCCCTTGTTCATATATAAAAAATAAATAAGGACTTCATCTTCTCTTTTTTATAGACAAAACCCTGAACCGTGTTCTATTCAAATTCATTTCAATGAATCTCGTGCTTTAAATCTTATTATTAGAGGCATAATGATCTTTTTTATTGTGATTGTAAATTAATGCCGTAGATTGTTTCTAATAGGACCTACGACCAATAGGTCGTATAATCCTAATGTACAGTCGTTCTGTTGCGATTAGTGTTTTCCTGTTTCTATTTTGTTTTAAAAATGAAATTAAACACTTGTTATGTTTTTAATCTAAAATACAATATAAATGCGTTTGATTCATAACATTAAAAAACAAAAGGATGTACAGTCGTTCTGTTGCGATTAGTGTTTTCCTGTTTCTATTTTGTTTTAAAAATGAAATTAAACACTTGTTATGTTTTTAATCTAAAATACAATATAAATGCGTTTGATTCATAACATTAAAAAACAAAAGGATGATCGATTTTGGTTTGAACAACACTATTTGGCATGCAAAAAAGAGTAGTTAGTAACATCAAATGCATTTCTATAATAGTTGTGTATATTAAAATTAATAATAATATTTTACAAAATAATTGTATGGTTGTCAATAATGTAATTATCCTAATGCACTAACTTTTATTTATGATAATAATTAGTCATTCGTTATGAAAATTACTTGTAACATCGCTTGCCTCTGGCTAACATGAGAACCCACTGGAGTCGAACCCTCCGCAGCCATGTCTTCTTATTTTTTCTTTCCCCTAATGTTTTCCTTTGCTTAATTCGTTGATGGAAATATATAAAATAAGGGTGTCAATAAAGGCCATTAACAACTTTTTATCAGCTTAGCTACCTGGATTGGAAATTTTTATCAACATAGCTATTTGGATTGGATCTAGGACGCGCAAGTTGAGTGTTATTCAATTCAAATTGATTCGTATAATTCTTATTATCTTTAGTGTAAAGTCGTATAATTGATTTAATTGTATGAGTTATAAATTTAAATTTTGATTCTTCTATTCCATGCTCTTCAAGCACATGACGAGGTGGAATACCAAGTGTTAGTTGTTCGAAAAAATTTAAAATTTTTTCTATTCTGTGTCCAGGGGCACATGATATAAGAGGTGGAACCAAGTGTTAGTTGCAAGTGTTAGCTGTTTAAAATTTTTTCGCTAAAGTTTCTTGAATTCGGTGGGATGATAATGTTTAAAAGTTAAAGTGTGTCCACCCTTATATTTTGTATGTTTATCCTGTGCATTAAGGACACAGAATAGAAAAATCTTTTAAATTTACACTCAAGCATACGAGTTTATATTAAAAGTCGTAAGAATTACATCTATAGATTGAGTTTATTTAAATTTGTATTCAAACATACAAGTTTATATTAAAAGCTGTAAGAATTACATCTATCGTGTTGTAAAGAATTGAGTTTTCTTTAAATTTATACTCAACATATGAGTTTATATTAAAAGTTGCAAGACGCAATATTCTTGCGACTTTGAATATAAACTCGTATATTGATTATAGATTTAAATAAATAAAACTCAGGTCCTATTTGGATTGGTATTTTTAGAAATTTATATAACAAAGATGTACTGTAACGATTTGATATTTATGAGATAAAAATATGATTAAAAAATGTATTTATGAAAAATGTAACTATCCACTGTAAAGATGGTTTTCAGTGCTGGTTATCCAATTACGGAAGCGATCCATAGGCTTTCACTTTCGCGTCTCTTACAATTGCAATCATGGTAAATCTCAGTTTATTTAATTATTAAATCATCAGGGACTCCCAAGCACACAAATTCTTTATAAATAGAAAGTGGAAGGCTCGTTACTCAATAGTATAACACCGTGTCAACCAATATCGATTTAACTTAGTTTGGATTGTGATTTTTTGCAAAAAAATTTCATGTTTTTTGTAAACCCAATTTTCAATTATATTTTATATTGCATATATCAAATCGCTACAGTACATTTTTTTTAAATAAAAACTCCTAAAAATAGCAATTCAAATGGGACTTGAGTTTTCATTATTTAAATTTATACTCAACATACGAGTTTATATTAAGAGTAAATATTATATACACTGACGGTGTATACACTATCACGGTTGGATACACGACACATCTGCAAAATTTGAGTTTTAAATTTAAATTTGAACTATGTGTCATGCATTTAATAGTAAAAGTGTATATTTTTTCATTGTATAGAAGATTAATCCTAATATTAATAGCCGCAAGAATTACATAGGTCCTGTTTGGCAACTAGGTTTTTTGCCTAGTTTTTCTCTTACAAGTTTTTAAATAACTTTAGTTACAGTAACCTCAAAAACTTCTCAAAATTTATAAAATATACACTTCAAAATACATAAAAACACTAAAAATTTTCCTTCTTCCCTTTTTTTTCTTCTTAAAAATTTTCCTTCTTCCCTTTTTTTTCTTCTTTCCTCACTTCAACCCATCGTTACTTCCGCCGCCCGCCAACACCAGCTAGCACCTCTTTCGGCGCCAAAAGAGAATTTTTTTTCTCTTTCTCCTCCCTCTTCCTTCTCACTTGCTGGCTCTCTCCCCCATCACTCCCCTGCCACCTTTCCCTTCTCCCTTCATCGCGCAACTGAGGGGGAGGGGGAGGGGGAGGGGAAGGGTGGCAGGAGAGGGATGCGGGAAGAGAGGCGGTGGCTGAGAGGGGAGGGAAATGGAGAAGGAGAAGGAGAAGAGAAAGAAAGAAAGAAAAAAGAAAAAGAAAAAAAGAAAGCCTGCTGATGCGGTGCCGACGGTCGGTGAGTGGTGAGGTGAGGGAGAAGGAAAGGAGAGGAAAGAAAAAGAAAAAAGAGTTTTCCATCTTAAATTTTTTTTTTTTACAAATTCGACAATAAGTTATAGGAAACCAACTACCACTAGAATAATTTGCCACCATATGTTTTTGTGAGATGATAGATCAATGGTTCAAATCTTGCCTCCCATCATATTACCACTAATGTGATTTCTCTTAGATTCATATGGATACGCAATCCGATGGTGATTCAGTCCCTGGTTCCCCTTGATCAAATTAGATCACTTCCTTAGAATAGATTAAAGTAGTAGTAGATGATGACGATTGACAAAAAAAAATACAGTAAATTATAATAAAATTTTAGATAAATTTTCAAAAAATTCATTTGGCAAACAGGGTTACAATATTCGAAGAAACTTAATGTTAATGTGGGCCATAAACAAAGCTGATTAGCACACGAGGCACGCACCTTGCACCCGTGTTCCCGTAACGCTCGAAAAGCCAGCCGGGACAAAAAATATCACAAGCAAAAAAAAAAAAAACATAAAATGGACGGGAAAAACCATGAAGATGACGTTGTTAAAGCAAAGACGTCGTCACTCGTCAGTGTATTGCTATTACTGCTATTACGCCAACCCAGGCCAGGCCTGCCCAGCCCAGCCCAGTCCAACCGACTCACTGCATTTTTTCACTTCCGTCACCCAGCTCTTCAAGTCTATTTTGATCATCAGTGTAAACTTTTTTTTTTTTTTTCCATAATTATCATCATCAACACCATCTTCGATTCCAATTACTGTAAATTGAGCTATGTTAGGGCTTGGGTTTTTGTTTTCTCTCGTCTTTAATTAAATGTCTTTTTTTTCTCCCTTTTTTTGGGCTGTTTAAGTAAATTAGTTCTGTCTAAAGTTCCATTATTGGAAGGTTCCGGAAATGGAGTCGCTGCGTTTTCACGACGGTAACATCACCGACTTGATCGATTTTCGTATTCTCGGCCTTCGTTCCGTACGTTATCCATGCTCTTTCCTTCCTTCTCTCTCTCTCTCTCTCTTTGTTTTTTGGTTGATGATCATTATTCATCAATGCTTTTTCCTCAATTTGCTATGGTGCATTAGAATTTGCTTGTAATAGGAATATTATGGAATCTCTCTCTCTTTCTCTCTCTCTCTCTCTCTTTAATTTCAAATTTTATTTGTTTCTGGTGTTGGAAGTTATTTGTATTTCAGGTGGTAATGTGACGTAATATTCTGGTTTTTTTTTTTTTATATACTGGATTTTTGTACTGCCTTGATTGCGTCATAATGTGATCGAGTATAATTAAATCAAGTTAGTTGCTGATTGTTGTGATTGTTTTTCTTGTAAAGCTATTGCTGGCATTCGGACTAAAATGTGCTTAGTGAAAATTAATGTGGAGCGGAATTGGCGTCTGTTTTTATACAGCAATTGGACGATAGTGATTCTTGATTAATTAATAGGAGTGTTTACAAAAGATTCTTTGGGTCAATGACTGCTCATGCTGTAGAGACAAGTAATGAATTTTAAGTGTTAGTGGTTTT